AAGATGTGCATGGCTTTGACGACCACTAGTCAGCTTTATCATCTACCATGTGAGCATCTGGCAACACGGTTAATTTAAATGGCAGAAAGAAACTTTCCTACTGTGAAAGAAATCTTCAAAAACATTATTGCTAAAATAGTAGGAATTTATTTTCAGTTATGAATGTTTTAAGTATCCTGACAATGGACTAGTGTCACAGTCTCCTTCCACAGACTGTAGGAAAAAATCATTCTACCTTCTAGTGACTGCTGACACTGCTCACCTTAGGGTCACAAATGTTTCTCTTCTATTTGTTTTGACAGGGATTTAACCCCATGCATATTAAACCTGAGCTGGAGCCCCAGCCCTTGTTTTAAAATTTGGAGACAGGTCTTGCTGAGTTGCTGCAGATCTACCTAAGTCCCTGAGGTTGACCTTGAAATTGTAATCTTCCTGACTCTGCCTCCTGAGTCTTTGGGATTATAGGCATATGCCAATGTACCCAGTTAGAAAACAAATCCTTTAAACAGTTCATGGTAAAACAAAGTAAAAGTACTGTGCCATTTGAATCATAGCATGGGAAACCAATAGCTGATAATATTGTGGAGAGGGGACTTTGTCATTGGGAATGTGGAAAAGAAGCTGGAATTTTAGGAATTTATTCGCAGATGCACAAAGGTTTAAGATGGGAGACAGGGTTCTGGACTTGGCAATTTGCTTCCCATGCATTTAGAATATTCAGCAGGATTCAGGCAGGTGGCACATACTTATAATCCCAGCAACTCAGGAGACTTCAGTATCTATTCAAGGCCAAACCGAGAAACTTGGTGAGACACTGTCTCAAAAAAAAAAGTACTGGGAAAGTAGCTCAGTGGTAAAGTACCTCTGCATTCAGTCCCTAGTCACTGCCCCCCCGCCCAAAAAAAAAAAATAGAAAGGGAGAAAGAAAAGCAAGCTCAGCAGGAAGGAGGAACTGAGGATCCTGTAGACTACAGCCCCGATGCAGGAAAACAACACATGTAGTTGTGATTCTGATGATCATCCCACTCCTCAGTCCCCACACAACCCGGGAATGTGCTAGAATGCTGACACTTAAGTGCCCAGATGGGGCTTCAGGTAGGGGCTGAAGACACTCTGCAGAGATAGGGCAGGGTCTCCACCACCGACATATGCCCCACTTCACTGTCCAGCTGGGAATCAGGGCTGACCTTCCCCAGAGCAGACCCAGCCCTGCAGATCACAGAGACTACCACAGGGATTCCCACTCACGACTCATGACAGTCAGTGTGGCCAGTGGCCAGGAGCCTCGCTTCCTGTTTCAGGAGGCCACTGCACACTCACCATTCACTGGCTTTTGAGTGGCCCAGTTTTCTCCCTGTAGATCTTTAAGCATCTGCACAGCAGAGCAAAGAAGCCTCCCGAGCAAAGCAGCAGGAGTCTAGTGATGGCCACCAACACTGGCAGACCCTGGAGCCACCCAGGGTGGCCAAGCCTGCCCTCTTCACTGGCTGTGTGCTGGACTGAACAATGCTTACCTAAGGGCTCCTGAGGGACAGGGCTTAAGGCTTCACCCTCTCAGGCTGAGCCCAGTGAGTCTTCTGTCTGGGTGACAGATGACATTAAAAGCAGGAATGAATGGGGTCAGAATGACAGGTTCTTGGCTGCAGCTTTCTTTCTTCTTTTGAGGTGCTGGGAATTGGAATCCATAGCCTCAGGCCTCTGCTAACCAAGGGAAGGTTTTCTTGTAGTAATGGAATCCAGCCCAGCCAGGAGGATATTTGCCTTGAACATTGCATATAAGCTCCTTTCAATTTAGGGTTATAGATGTGTGTATATTAGTCATGAATGGAAATAGTATAATGACACTTCTTGTAAAATTTCACCTCCTTTGTCTGCTCTCTGCTCTTGTGAAGAGACAGATTGAACTTTGAACTGGGAGGCACCCACACAAAGCAGCAATGTTGAATGACGATATGTGAGGAACAAGGGTAATTTAAAAGTTTCCAGAGTTCCCAAATCCAGATGAAAGGATGCATGATTGATTGTCAAAAACATTCCAGGAAAAAAAAAGAAAGAAAGAAAAACCTTCAAGAAAGAGGAACAGTTGTTATTCATTTTGAGAAAAAAGGAAAAAGGTGGTTTACTGCTTTGCTAGCAAAGGAGAAACAGAAAACTCCTGGCCCAGAGCCTGTGATTCTCAGCAGGAACAGGAGGCTTTTAAAGAGGTGATTCAAAGGCTAAATTCCATGTGTTCTCTGTTGGAGTTGCAATTCACTTGTTAATTTGGGAGACAGTCATTTCTGAGATCTTGTGGTACAACCAAAAGTATGGATTATTTCCTTCCTGTCATGGGTAGTACTCAGGGACTGGTAAATCTACCTAAAATAGGAAAGAAAGGTAATCCTGTTTTCCCTGAGAATAGGGAGGGGGAGAGATCAGGGAGGAACAGGGAGAGAGGAAAAGAAGAAAGCATATCCATTTTAAAAATAAACTGCAGCGGCAGAGCAACAGGGGTTATACTCAAGCATAAAGTGGACCACTGTTGCATTTCCCCACTGTCAAATTCTGCATTCCATTTCTATGGAAAAATGGGCAATGACAAAAACTCCAAACTAGAAGCAGATATTTTAGGGAATGTGTCATTCACCAATTTACTTACCAGATGATTTGAGGAAATATATTCATTTTTCCGCAGCCACAGGGAAGAGAGATTTTCCTAATTTATTTTTCCTGTTAAAATTTCCAAAGATAAACCCTAGAATTTAATTTGAAATAGCCTCCAAAAACAGAACAGAGAAGGAACCTATAGTACACACTCAGGAGAAGAAAAAAGGCAAATAAACTTTTTTTTTTTTTTTTAAAGAGAGAGTGAGAGAGGAGAGAGAGAGAGAGAGAGAGAGAATTTTAATGTTTTATTGTTTAGTTCTCGGCGGACACAACATCTTTGTTGGTATGTGGTGCTGAGGATCGAACCCGGGCCGCACGCATGTCAGGCGAGCGCGCTACCGCTTGAGCCACATCCCCAGCCCAAATAAACATTTTTAATGATTAAAAAAGCAAAATAAGTTTCTCCCTGAAATCTCTCTCCTGCCTCTTTGGATGGCTTTTCTTTTTTTAATTTTTAAAATATTTTTTAGTTACACATGGATACAATGTCTTTATTTTGCTTATTCATTTTTATGTGGTGCTGAGGATCCAACCCAGTGCCTCACATGTGAGAGGCAAGAGCTCTTGTCACTGAGTCACAACCCCAGACCTGGATGGATTTTCTTATCTTTGAGAAAACAAAACAAAACAAAATGCAGGGTAGAGACTTGAACTGCCAATTATATAGGAGATATCTACAATAATCATACAAAAATCAACATCTTTGGACATTAGAAAAATGTAAAATAAAACCCATTGTAGACAACATTAAATAGTATAGAAGAAGATATGAAGCACATGAATTCTCATAAACTGAAGTTTAAGTTGTTATTATTTATTTGTGGAAAGTGTTTTACTATTGAAGATACCTGATACTCTCCCACCTTAGAGATTTAGGGAAATCACCATGACAACATGTAAGAACAACCATGTTCATCCAAACATGGGAAACCCAGGCAGGTGGTTTAGGAGAATGTACATTTTGGAAGAGAGAAATAAGGAACTGTGGGAAAAATGGTCACTAGGGGCCAGCCACATTCTTGCTTATATTATACTTGGTTTTAAAACGGTACAAAGTACCATGTTTAAATTGTATATTGGTATTACAAGCATATCGTATTTCACATGTACACATGTTTGAATAGAAAAAAATTTAGAAACTATGAGAAAATAAAAATAAACAAAAGCGCATGAAAGAATCACGGCATCCCATGTGTACATGTAACAAAACTCATCATTACAAAGATGAACATTTTTCAATCTATCTACAATATTTTCCCATCAAAGTTCTTGTGTCATAGTGAATTTCATTTTATGTGTATCTATGAAGCAGGAATCTAAAAATCTATGAATAAATAGAAGGATAACCAGGAGAGGGCGAATGTGGAAGGCAGGAGGAGAGGGAAAACGTAATTACTGGGGACTGAAATGGAGCAAATTATATTCCAAGCCTGATGGATTATGTCAAAATAAACCCCAATAGAACTATAACTGTAATGCACTGATTAAAAAAAAATTCAGCATGCTTTACTTTTAATAAAAGAATGCAAAGCACAAAGTCCTAAAACTCATCCACAGTTAAATATGTGTTAAGTAAGCCAAAAAGCTTTTTTAAAAAAAGTATATATTTTTTTAGTTGTAGATGGACACAACACAATGCCTTTGTTTTTATGTGGTGCTGAGGATCGAACCCGGGTCCCGTCCGCGATAGGCGAGCGCTCTACCGTTGAGCCACAATCCCAGCCCCCAAAAAACTTTTGAATTACAAGAGCAAAACAAGTAGCTAACATTACCTGACACACGTATATTAGACATGAAGAAAAAAAAAAAAAAGCAAGGAATCACAATATAAACAAGTCCATAAAGGAATCCAAATGTGTGTTAGAATTACATTCTTCATGACACTAGAAAGATCTCTATAAATGGAACCATAACACGGCCAACCTCAGTACTTAGCTAGTCCCTGTCTCAAATAAATAAAGGTAAAGTACCAGGACGTAGCTCGGTGGTAAAGCACCCCTGCGATCAGCCTCCAGGACCAAAAAGAACCGGGAGAGGAAGCTGCTAGCCCAGGGGAAAGCCAGGTCCCTAGACCGCAGCTCTCCCGCAGGGAAATCCCACGTGCAGGGCAACCCGGACGCCGTCCAACCTGTCAATCACCGCGTCCTCAGGGAAGAGGCCGGCGGCGGCCCGCGCTCACGCCAGAACCGACCTGCGGCCGGAGCCGGCTGCGCGGCGTCCCCGCCCGGCTGGCCCGTGGGACTCAGGCCCGCAGAGCCCGGGGGCTGCCGGAGTCCAGGCGGTCAGCTCCGCTCCCGCCGCAGCGGCACCCAGGGTCTCCCTCCCCAGGCCCCAGATGCCCCCCGCACACTCACCATTTCCTGGCACTCGCGAGCCAGGCTCAGAGTGCCCACAGGAGACCCTAGCCTGAGGGCAGGAATGGCGGAGTCCGGGAAAAGTACCTCGGCCGGATTGCGGAGCCCGCCCCCTCCTTGCCGGCCGTGAGCAGGATTGGACAGTGCTCACTACTCTACGCGCTCCTTATTGGACACGGCTGCAGACCGCGCCCCCTGAGTGTGAGCCCAGTGAGCCTGCCTTCTGAGTGACAGAAGAGGACAACCAATCCAGGCATGCATGAGGCCAGAATGACAGGCTGTGGCTTTCTTTTTCTTTTTCTTTTTTCTTTTTTTTCCTTTGAGATCTGGAAAGGACACCCCAGAGCTCCAGGCTGCAGTGATTTTAAGGGATAATTTCCTCCCAGAAGTGGGGTCAAGCCCCACCATCAGAACATTTGCACTTAAGCTTGCATATGAGGTCATCTCAACTTATGGATTGTATATGTTGCCACATTATCCATGAAAGAAAATAATATAATGACAGTTACTGTAAAATGTCATTTAACTTTTCTGCTCGCTAGTCTTGTGAGGAGACAGATTAAATTTTGAACTGGGAAGCAACCCCTTAAAGCAACGATATCCCATGAAAACCATATGCAAGGCACAGAATTTTTTCTAGTATTTATATCATAAAAGAAAAGAAACAGTTGAAATTGATTTTAATAACATAACCTGATATTTCAGAATATTAAAAGAAATACTACTAGTGAAGTTTATGTTATTTGGAACAACACCCTCAAATCTCTCTCCAGCGTATCTCAGTTCACAGCAGCCACGTTCCTGATTTGAGAGCCATGGGTGCCCTCCATTAGGGAGGTAAGGGGCCTGCTCTAACCCTCTATATGCTAGCATTGAGGGCTACAGTTGCTTACTAGTATTTCTTCTCAGGTCTAAAGACACAATGCCCTGAGTGAGAGCAGGGAGCTCCAACCAGGAAGTGTCCACTTGATGCTGGTCACAGGTTCTTTCCGATTGCAGAAATCAGACAGCAAACAAATGAAGATGAGATCCCAGGAGGTGAGGGGCACATACCCTGCAATCTGTCCCCAGCCTTGACTCCATTGTTTAAGTAATTTAAATGCAAACTTCTAGTTTGGCAATTTGGCCCTAGACCTAATGGCCAGGCTGTGATATCTGTTTTCTCCTCTGGTCAGAGGCCCACGATGGTAAGCAGCTAGGCTGGTAATCCTGATGAGCTACATCTCATTCCAAAGCCAAAATACCTCCACCAGATCACAAGGTTTATTCTCTTCAGACTTGGAAAGTGACAATTATTCAAAAAAAAACACAGAATCTGTGAGATATAGGTATAATATAGTATAGTGTATTACATATTATAACACATATAGAACCCTCTCATGTATCTGAGTCATCTTGGGGCTCCCATTCCAGGATCCGGGGAATCTGGTTCTGTTTACATCTAGAGAAAACATCAACTAGAATTAATCTCAACCCACCATTACACAACAAAATATAGGTTGACATTGAAAATGTGGTGCAGTTAATCAAGATTTATCAACTATAAAACAGGCTGATCTAGAGGGCTGTAAAATACCACCAAGTCCTGTGTTTTTAAAGCACAGATGGAAAGGCACTGTAGAGGTGAGCAGCTGAAACTTCTTTATTGGGAGAATAGCATGAAGGGAGGTCAAAGGGGGACATATAATGTTTTATGTCATCAGCTGAATTGTGTCCTCTCCCCAAATCTCATAGTGGATGTTCTAAGTACCAGTGCCTCAGACTGTGGCTCTATTTGAATATATGGCTCATGAAGACATGATCAGTGTTAATTCAGTTAGTTGGGGTGAGGGCTAATCCAATTAACACTTTGTCCTTATAAGAAGTAGCAATAAGGATACAGAGAAGCACAGGGAAATGTCATGCAAACATAGAAGAAGATGGCAATCTCCATGTCAAACATTGGCCTCAAAGGAAATCCTTCCAGCCAGCACCCTGATATGTAGCCTTGGGAATTAGGACAAATAAACTTCTGTCCTAAAACCCCATCTGTGGTATTGTCTTTTGATACCATATGGTACTGAGGCAGCCCATTAGGACACACATACTCTGTCCCTGCAGCGTGTCTGAATGAAGATGCAGTTGAATCATGTCACATTCCACCAGCACTGAAAGGCTGCACTGCTGCAAGAAATGACATTTCTCACTGGAACATTATGAAGGCAGGTGAGGACACAGCTGCTGGCCTGATGGGGCTTTAGAGATTTGTTTTGTGGTGTGGCACAGTCCTGAAAAACTCAGAGAGTACTTTTACCTCAATTGTTTGTGCAACCCTCACTCCTCTTTGTCCCAACACTTTCCTGGCAAAGGTGTGAGTTTTTAAGTCTTGTAAAGGAGTGTAAGTAAAGTGGAGGTGACTGGCACATGGGCTACCTGGGGCAGGTAGCTAAAACGAAAACAGTAGCCACAGGAAAGGAACATTCAGGGCCCAGTAAACATTGAAAATGATGTGAAAATGTTTTCTCTGTTATTTCTCCAAGTGTGCAATCTGGAGATTCACACCTATTCAGTTGCCAGAGGGAGGAATGCAGTCTAGATTTCTTGGGCAATGGGAATGTAGGTCACTCAAGTGGTCAAGTCCTCAGACAGAGACTGGAGGAGTCCCCATACTTGGCCATTTGTCCTGGCCTGTCCTAGAAATCTCCCGCTCCTGCCATGGAGACCCTTCCCCACTAGGCTCATCTAACCTCAGACCAGAGATACCATTGTTCATGATGTGGTGGACTTCCTCTTTCCCCAGGGAGACAGAATTAACAAGGAGCTGCATGGAACTCGCAAAGAGATTGTCTTACATGTAGGCCAAAAATTAACGCCGACCATCCTGGCTGACTCCACAGGGGATACTTTCATTGAAAATCTTTATACCCAGATCAGGTAAATGTGAATATGTACATAGGCCTCCATCCAGTGGTGATGCTAGATCAGAATAAGGTCTCTGGATAAACATTTGAGTAGCAAAACTAGGATCCAATACTTAATATCCACCCTACCAGGAATGTCCAGTGGTGCAAACATGAACATTCTGCCAGTTTCAACATGAGATACCCTACTCCTGTCATTGCAGGTCACCTACTCTCCCCCACCAGAGAGAGAGAGCCAAAGGACTTCCCAGGGGTGGTCACAGGACTGGCCTGGATTGGTCCTCTCTGGGCTGCTCTTTTACCTGTGGGTGCCTCCTGATAAGCGGCCACAAGGGTGTTGTTTCAGGGCTGAGTCCACATGTGAAAATGCTCCCACTCTAAACTTTTTGGGCCTAGAGCCTTGGAAAGTTTGCACATATCAAGAAAACATCTTGCTCTGTTGTGCATCTCCCTTCACGTGAGCTGAATAGGGGACTGTCTCCAGAATGCATGTGCCTGGTCACCAGAGTTCTACGTTCTGTTGGGTCATAACACTAAAAAATTGAGGTCGCTTCCTCCAAGTGCAATGAGCTGGACCTCTTCCTGTACTAAGACCTCTCTAAAGTGTCCTTTGGATGCTGACTTGTCATCTGCTTCTCCATGCAAAATGGTACAAACAGAAATGGCCTTTCTGCCCCTTGGGAAGCTGCCAGTGTGACGATGCCCACCTCGGTGGAGGCTCACAGCAGGCCTGGCAGGTGCCCTGGGGAAGACTCAGACCTCGATGGCAACATGAGAACCTGACTAAACTAAATCGAGTTTAGTCCATATCTTGAGTCCATGCTCTGTCTGGAGGCAGAAAACCGCCATCATCATAGAAGAGTAAAACCCACCATGTACCAATGTAAACCCAGCTGGGCCTGGGCTCCCTGGCTCAGTGCTGGGCCACTTTTGGAGAAAAATGCCTGCGACGGCCACATGATGGCAGCCTTGCACAAACCGAGGCCAACCTGAGTGCTCTCCCTGGTTCCACCAGTCACAGGGATCCCAGGCAGTGGGTGCAGGTACACCTGCCTTTCTAAAAAACCTCAGAGGCCCTGCCCAGCGTGCATCCTTAATTGCAGCTGGACACTCTGTACTTTACAAGAGAAAACACAGCATCAGAACTGCCAACCCCTGCCTGTCTTAATGCAAACAGAACTGGTCTGTTTCAAAGGGAGCTGTGTGCTGCCTTGCTCCCCAAATTTCAGTGCTGCAAAAAGTCACATAGTACAGAGAAGACATATTGTAAAGAGGAGCTCAAGGGTCTCTGTGTTTAAGGAACAACGTGTGGCTTTCAGTGAGCCCAGGAAAGCTGATTCCAGAATTTCCTAACTTTGTAAATAACTCCATAGACTTGCCAATAAATAAATATGTAAAGACTCTGACTAATCCACTGAAATGCACCCTGCTTCTTTCTGCCCTAGTTAAATGTGGGAGGCCTTAAGACTCCTGTTCCCGAGATCCCTTCACTTTGCATGATACAGCTGGGAGTTGGGTCCTTTCTGCTCCACTGTGCTGCACCCTGAACCTCTACCTTCCTCTCAGTCTCTGACACCTTTGACAGCCTCTACTGTGGGAGAGATTCAGAAAATACTGGAACACACTTAGAGACATTTCATCCTCAGGCTATGATGCCTTCAGTTTGGTTCCATGTTCCTTTCAGTATTTTGAAGTTTGTTTCTCAGTAACTGCATTCAAGTTATTTTGGGGATCAGTTTGCTCCATTTATGACATGGAAACAATGTTTCTCTTGAAGCACTGACTGGCAAGCTTAAGGCACATGTCCAGGATTCATGGATGCCTAGTACACAGATGTCTCACCCTTGATGATGAGAAAAATGGATGTGGGGTGAGAAGAGGGAAGGGAGCCAGAGGGGAGGACAGAAAATGTGCCTGCTCCCATGAAGTGCAGGCTAACGGGAGCCAGACCTGGTCCTCAGGTCTTGGTGAGAGGAGTGGGTACTTTCCTAGCTAAGGCCATTTCCCCAGCTAAGCCAGCCTCAGACTGGTAACAAATGTGCCCAATGTCCTCCCAGCCCTGGTGTGCCATGTGACTGTGGGAGTCACAACCTGAGGTCAGTGCACTCTTGGCTTATTGAGGTTCAATTAATGCAGCCATTCTTTCCAGGGATCTTGGGCCAGGTGCTGTGCTGAAGGCTGGCACAGACTCTTGGCATGGTAGACATGGCCTGCTCTCTCCTAGGATTTTC